ACACACACACATACACACACACACACATATACGCATACATATACAGATACACATAGATACATATATATATAAACGCTTATGCTTTAATTGAAACTTTTTAAATTTCAATTATTTTGATAAAATTATTTATTACATACTTCCACTGACGGTATCCGGTTCTACATTTTCGCGTGTAAATGTTTCACTATCTTCATGCAAGTAGTTCTCAAGATTTGCATGAAGTTTTGCAGAAATAACTGCGACGTTAACATTTATATCGTTCTAATAGCCTTTCACTTGGCTACATTTCAGTTTACTTCTCCACACTGCACTTTCTGCTTGCATTAAAACTGCAAATCAGACAAAGTGCAATATGCAATGCATACTTTTCCATTGCATTACATTACTTATACTCCGTTATACAATCCCATATTGTATAATTATGCGATTTTTTTTTGAATTCTATTATGTTCCCGGAATATTTCAAAATGTTGCATATTTATTCTCAATTTGTAGCATTATAAAAGACGTTGTTGTTACTTTGGTGCGATGGTTATTTTGAAAGTCCAAATTTAAAATAAAATTCTCCATATTGTACACATTATGCACTTTTTTCTTCATTTCTTTTATCACATTTTTTACGGTTATCTTCGATTGACAAAAAAATTTTCATATATTGGAATATTGAAAATTTTTGCGATTGGGATGTATCGTTTTTTTTGTTCACACTGTGAAAGTGCAGTTGAGCTTAACAAGCTGTACTTTTGATAGATATTGTATTGCACTCTCACTGCAGTGATTCATTGCACTGACCCTATCCCGTATTGCATTACTATCCTATACTACATAGCATTCTAGTGTATTCGCATGTTGCATGCATTTTTAACCTAATCATGTATAGCATTACGATCCTATGCTACATAGCATTCTGTGTATTTGCATATTGCATGCATTTTCGACCTAATCATGTATAGCATTACTGTCCTATGCTACATAGCACTGTAGTGTATTCGCAAGTTGCATGCATTTTTGATCTAATCATGTATTGCTACACTGCTGATAGCTCTACACAACGAATTTTTTAGCAAGTTTTGTGCGATAGACCTCACATGATCAAATATTCCATATGTAACTCTTTCTCTCTCTCTCTCTCTCTCTTTCTCTCTCTCTCTGTCTGTCTCTCTCTCTGTCTGTCTCTCGTACTTCTTATCCACTTAAACTGATGCACACGTGCTTACACGCTTCTTATCATATTTCCGCTCATATTTCCACGCGAACTTATCTTTATCGTGTCTTCTATACATTACGCTACGTGTGAACAAGATTTATTGGATTGTATTATATTTGTAAATCATAATATTTGTGGTATTATCCATTTCAGGGTAGATTATATGGTAATGGCATCGATGCCAAAACGACGAAGGACAGGTGACATGGACGACACGGAGACGATACTTTTGGGAGATGACCTGAAACAAATTAAGGATATAGTGATGGACTTCAAGGTTCCTCTTGTTTTTGTTTAGCATTCATTATGAGGGTAAGTGTCATAGTTATCCAAAATATATGCAAGTAATTTAATGGATGGCCTAAAAAATATTTCAGCTATTAGTAATTCTAAATTAATCTTCAAACTAGATCACATCATTTGGTTAATCAATGATAGGTTAGATCATTGTAAAAAATTAGCGGAGTATTGCCTCTGCGATTAATTCTAATTCTGCATTTCAATTGATATTCTCGGGACTTTGATAATGTTGTTGAAAAAAGCATTGCATCATCAGATTGACATGTTTGGATAATTGATAAATATGCTTGCACGTTGCACTTTATTGTATTTTGTCCACAACAGTTAGCTATTTTGTCAAATTGCAGAGGCATTTTATCTATCATTACACACAAAAAAAACTTATGCTAAACACCGTTTTACTTCAAAAGTGAAATGGTATTTAGATAGCTGGATACAAATTATAGAAATCTTTAGGAAATAAAAAAAGTCGATGAATTGAAATCAAAATTGAAGAAATGCCCACGGATCGGGGTTACGCTGATGACTGTCCTGTGGAAATGTTCTCTGCAAAGTTTTGATGACCAGCAAGTTTTTTTCTGTTTTGTTTTATAAGCTGCCAAAAAGATCAGGAAACATAAGTTGCGGCGATTCAAAGAAGCACCGCTATAATATTATCACTTAAAAGAATCGATCTTGTTTTAGGTTATAATTCCGCTGAAATCAAATTTCAAAAAAAAAGTGACACTTGTCACCTGTGTTTAGTAGGATTCCAATGAAGTAATCCAAAAATTACTTCTGCATACGATCGTCTATCTACCACTAAAAAAAATCTTCACAGTAGTTGAAACACTATGTCTTGAAGTGCAATTAAGATACAGAGAAAACTAACATTGTTGATAAAATTACCGATCTCTTGGAATTATTTTCTCCAAATTGGATCAGTATATTTAATTCTCACTGGGCTTGCATATATGTGGTTCTTAGAAGTATCATATGATGATAAAAGTTTCTCCATTTGCAGGCCACAGTGGTTGCAGATTTTAAATGATGTTTTGTGTATTTTGACAAATATTTATGAAAAAATGCCATATTTGTGCTGCGAGGTGAGCTTTACTTTTTATCATTTATGTAAGTTTCATGAACAATTTTTTGAAATTTAAACTCATTGTAATGTTCTATTGCTAAACCATTACAGTTAGCCGAGCCGCCTGGAAACTTTACGAATATTGCAGGTATATTCAAAATTTTATTTAGTTATTAATTAATGTTTGGTATGCAGCATGTTACGAACGCTATGGGTAAAATGACAACTGTTCTAAATTTTGTGCTTATTATATTTCAAATAAGCTTGCATAACAAATATACAACAAGCATTTCATTCATGCCAAGTTTGAAGACTAAAAATCTTTTTTCAAATATCGTGTTTATAAGCTTGAATTGCTCAGATTTGCTAGTTTTATTTGTTACCATATCAGCTAGCTAGAGTAAAATGTGCAGTGTGTGTATAAGTTCATTCACGTTTTTTAAATAAATACATGAAGTTTCAAAGAACAATTTAGTTCGTTTGTTGGAATGTGGTCCGAAAATATCATTGGAAGCAAAATGCGAGATATTTCGCTTGATATGTAGTGTTGCAATAGATCAACGGTGTATGGAAATGATTACCGAAAATACCCATCTAGTGGATCGTATAGCAATGGCGATTGATCACGAAGTAAATGAGGTGGCAAAAGTAGCTCTCCAAACGGCAGGCGTTTTATCGGTTAACAAAAATGGTATTAGGGTAAGTTTATTATTATTTTTGTTAATTACAGAAACGTTGTGCATTGCTCTTACTTTAAGCTCTAATAGTGCTGTCTTTCTATGAATTTGGAGGGCAAGACTGTTTTTTTTAGCTAAATCATGTGATCTGGGTTTTAAAACCGATAAGAATATTGTGTACAACTGATCTCTTTCTTTCGTATAAATGGATTAATAAGTCGAATACTATTTCTGGTACTAGTGATTAATTCACTGTTGAATGTGTTACTCAATACTGCGGAAGCCGTTTCCATAAAAGAAAAAGAAAAAGTTTTTGGTGCTCTGGCACTTACCCAACGAAGTACTGAGAGAAATGAGAAGATTGATGCTGTGATGACCGGTTTTGAAATAGGAAAAGTGAGGAAGTAAAGGATTTATCCTTTTATTAATATACCAAAGCAAATTAGCATCCAAATAATTATCTATACAGTGAAAAATAAAATACGGACACGCGAAAAACCTTTAATACACCGAGAAACCCTTAATAATCCTCTAAAAAAGCTTGAACTTAGAATTAAATATGTACAATTATACAAAGGAAAAGAAATAAAAAGGAGACGACGTATATCGCAATGTCTTTTAATATCATTATCAAACAGTTTTTGATCATATAAAATAACGTGTCCGATTTTCGGATAAATACACATCATCATTCTCTTGTCATTTATTAGTATTTCTGCTTCTCCAGTAATAAATTTCTGCACTCTAGGTCAAAATAGCTTATAGTAATCATTCAGTTCCATTTTAATCTTTTCTTATGCACCAAATTCTCTCATATTTTATGTCTTCTTATTGTCTTATGTTATCTTATGTCTCTCGTACTATGGTATAGTGAAAATCCAGATAATGTTAGCTAACTAATTATTATTTTCGGAATGTATGATGTAATATCCTTACTGTTTGCCAGGTTGGAATAGAGTTATACTCGGTTTTATCGACTTGTGAAGCTGTGGTACCTGTTTATCATGATAAGCGCGAATTGCTTCTTCTGGATAGTCCTTATTTGTCTGGAAAACAATAAGACATGTTAATAGCTCAGGAAGTGTTTTCCTAGTATTTGCTTTGAGCAATAAGCAGTACAGAGAGGTCAAATAATCCATTGATGATAAACGAAATTTTCAAGTGATAAATAAAAATGACTAAATGAATTGCACACTACCTTTGCAACTAAACCACTGTGTGCAAGCACATTCTTGGATTGTTCTTCCAGTTCATCACCGTAATCTTCTTGTGATGCATCATGTCCTTCCAGCTTCTTCTCCTGATTTCTCTCGGACTCCGAAGTAAGTCGCGCTTTCCGAGCTCTTCGTACACCACCAGCGATTTTTTCGGCCGGTGCATGACCACCCTTTAATACTTCACTCTGCTTGCTCCCACTCATTCAGTAGTTATTTGATATTCTATAAATAAAAATTTGAATTAGTTGAAACTGTGCGTCAAATAAGTAGTTACAGATCAAAGCAGTTGATTTACTCAACATTTAAGAATAACAAAGTATAAGACTTAAATTTATCAGTTATATCTTAGAAAACAAATATTAAAATATATCTTTACCTGGCGAAAAATTTGTTCATTATAAATTAATAGATATAAATTGTTTTTTGATGTTGTAAGGAAGAGTTTGTTCATTAATAGATATAAATTTTGACGTTGAGCAAATTGATTAAATCGAAAATTTTGTTGATTCACTTTGACACTTATTTACTTGTTAATCTAACTTATATAATCGTTTATCTTCTTTCCGACTTTATCATTTTTTCCGTGTTCTATTGTCTATTTACTTCCTTAGGAATTCGATCAGTCCGAATAATGAAGTAAATTATTCCTAGTTTTATGGCTAAATATATTTTGAATTCAAAAATCTAAAGTTTGGATTTTAATCTAGAGTTTAGAACTCTATATTAAAAAACATAAAGCCTAATTATCTTTAAACCACACTAAATATTAAACGTAAAGCCTATTTACCAAACTTTAAACCACGTTACTTCACAGCTCCGAAATATCGTACGCGACGCATCTCATTATTCGCCTGTAAAGGCATGGTCTCCAATTCCTTTAAGTTGGACGGAGTGCAAATAGAATGTCTTAGCCTCGGAATTCAGGATCAGAATTACATTTCATGTTTGGCAGAATACAGTGAAGGGAAATTCGCTAATATGCTGTAGAATGAATAAATAATTAGAATAACCTGAATAGAACAACGGAAACAGGTTGCATACATAAACATACGTGGCTTAATTTTCTGTTATTACACCATATTTTATTTAAAAAAAAAATTTCTGACATTACAATAAATTTTTTTTTTTGGTGACTTACATTGCCACAAATGATTAAGAAACAGCAGTGTTAACAGTATGATGAATGTGAGGAAGTAGAACAATTAATTTTTTTTTAAATTGTTTGATGACTACTGATAGAAGTTTAAAATGCTGTAAAGTCTTACATCATTCATTACATTGTAATATTATTTTTAAATAATTGAAAAAAAAAAACGAGAATTTCTCTTATGTCAAAAACTGTGACTGGAAAGAGAATATGCTGAAGTAGAATAAATATCAAAATTTTAATTTTCATTATTTTATGCTCTCTGTTTTCAGCTGATTTAAATGAGAACTGAAAATTTCTGCTGATTTAAATAAGAACTGAAAATTTAAAAATATTTCAAAGCAAACATTTTTAGCGTTTGCTATTATCAAATGTTGGTCTTTATATGGGTAATTTGTTGTATCGTACCAAACAAATGAACGAGGCTTTTGGATGTGAGACGCAGAAGGCTATTTTACAATTAATTTGTCGCTTTGTCCGATATAAAGGTACAAAACGGATTGGACGACAACTAGCAGGAAGGTTGGAAGCACATTAAAATTCTCCATATGTCATAAAATAAATTAATCGGAATAGCATAAATAGAATAACTTTATTCAGATCAGGTTCTTCCTTCATGGTCAGAAAAGTCAAAATTACAACATCATAATAAGATACTGGTGGAAACAGTTGTAATTATAAGTTGGTAAGCGAATGAGTGGAAAAGTTGTTGTTTATTTATTTTTTCATTTGATGTTTCAGTAATGGCGTGGGTGTTTTGTTGGATTGCTTTCTGGAAGGCCAGTGCGAAAGTTATATTGTGGAAATGTGTAATGCCTCATTTGAACTTCGCGAACAGTTCGAAACACCCGGTTGTATAATGAAAATTGTTGAGACACATCCACGCCCTGAATATATGCTAAAAATGCTTTTATGCTTTGCACAGGTATGTCTAGAGAAATCAGGGAAAAGAGAAATATTTTTTAAATGAAATGAGAAGAGTGGTTTTAAGATGTCTTTTTTCAGGATACACAGTTGTGGAGAAGGAAGAAAGTAGTGTAGGGAGTATAGATGAGAAAGGAGGTAGACTTCTTTTTTAAACAGAAACATAGCAAATCGATTTAATTTTCACATGAATTTAAATATTTTTGAGTCGACTAGTTGGATTTAAGGATGCCTGGGGACGAGCAGCACTTCGTGGTCATGGTGCCCTGGATATACTTGTTGATGGACTCGAAAAAGCTGATTCTGCGCAGCAAGAATTGATCGTCAACACGCTTCGGTACGGCATGCTTCCCGTTGTATTATCAATTTTACATTATTCGAAAATTTATGGTTCAGTGTTGAAAAGAGATGGATGGGATGAAAAAAGAAAGTAGCAAGAAGGAAAAGAAAATTGGAGAAGCATTGCTAAATTAAGATATTTTTTACAAATATTGTCAGTGATTTATATAAATTTCTAGAATATGTTCAAGTTTCAGACATTTTGTTCATGACGGAAGTGGACTAAGCTATCTGACATTTTCTACTAAGTTTCTGGATATTGTTACGGATCACATCAATCTTTACTTGAGCAGAAATAAACGTACTTGCAGTGTAAGTTTTTAGTTTTCATTTCGGTCTTTGAACCTTTTAAATTGTAGTAAAGTAATTCAATTTTTATGCACGTTTTATGATCTGCCATATGTTACTTTCAATATTAGCTGAGTCTAAACTATCGTAGGTTTAGAAACTTTTTTTCATAAATCTATTGGTTTTGCGCTAATGCAGCGTCAAAAAAATTCTTTTCGCTGTTATTTCGAATTTTCTTTAGTGGATGAGTATTTCTTTATCACTCATAATTTTCTGAATTCATTTAATGAAGTTTATCACTTCTAGATAATAGTGATTGTAATTTTGATTATTATCGAATTACTACTTTTATAGTACAAACATTGATTTATTTTTATCCTTTTTTCTTTTAATGGATCTACATTTTTTTGAATATATTTGATAAAAGTATGTCTCAGGTGATGCGAGATCGAGCGATTGGTAGATGCGAACCTCACAAATTAGGGCGTCGTAAAGCAGAATGCATATGTTGTAAAATGTTGGTAAGCGTCTTCATGTCAAAAATCCAGATAAGAGTTAGCACAGCAACATGATTTCGTCATATATTTCCACTTTTCTGAGTAAAATAGCTAATCTTATATAGGGGATCATAGCGAAAGCTATAATGTTTAGGTGCGAAATTTTCCCTTTAGTTTTTAAAAGATTCGAAATGGACCGAAAAATCTCAATTTTTTTAGCAAAAGAGAAATCAGTTGCAGATGATGCCATATAATTCGACGAATTTGGATGTGTTTACTCACTTTGTAGATTCTGATGCATCCTTATCTAGAAAATTGGTCGAATTTTCTTGGAGTCCATCCCAGTCGCCACCACCTGGAATGTGCTCACCGCATATGTCACCAAAAAGAATATCACTGTTTGAGTTTTTGTTTTCCTTATTATTTATGTAGTTAAACTACAAAATACCAAGTTATACTGAAGAAGAAAAACAGAGCACATAGCAACATTATTAATAAGCAATGAGAAAATTATACATATGACATACTAAAATGTTCGGGACATTTTTACATTTCTTACTACGTGTTTAATCATAATGTTAGTACAACGGTTTTAATAAATTAATATTGTTGGTAAGCATAATGAATCATTCCTTAGGTGTGAAAACTCTCCTTTAGTTTTTAAAATGACTGCTTTGCTCCCATGTATAGTGACATGAATCATTTAATAAATTTCATTTTGAAAATGTAGTAGCAGGTTATCATCAAGTCACATGCAATATTAACTAATATGATGTTAAAATCGTTTCTAGTGGTTGACATTTTTGAATATCAAGATTAACTGATATAAAGTTATAATAAACTGTTAGATAAGATAAAAGTTGCAGTTCACCAACATCATTGATGGATGAATACATTGAATGCATGGAACATCCAATATCAGTGAATAATAGTGACAGTTATTTAATTCGTTCTTCACATGTACCTTACAAGAATACAGAGGTACGTATTATTCATTACTTTTTTAATGAAATGCTATGAAAACTTTTGTTACATGTCAGGGTAGCATCTTTAAATAAAAGATGATCCTATTTCAAAGATCAAACTTGACTACAGTGACTGTTTAGGGCATTTTAAACATTATACTGTAGCATAGTGTCAAGTTTGTTTATCACGATGCTCGCATTATTAGCGTGATGACAATTGATTAATAATTTGTAAAAGGGATATGCGGGGATTTTCCAAGGAGGTTTTGGCAATAACGATTTTGTTTCTCAAATATGATATGGATTTAATATTAATTAGATCAGTATAAGTTTGCAATGTATCCATTATATCAGTAGATAATATTATATTGTTGTATAAGTCGTTTTAGCTCGTTGTTGGTGAATTGTACATTTTGGCTTGGTTATCGCACAGTGAGTCTAATATGAGACGACTGATTACATCAAAAGTAACTTTTTCATACTATTTATTCAAAAAAAGGATAAACAGTTTTTGTGTGGAATAGATATAAGGTTAACAAGCAGCAGCATATATTAAGCATGTCAAATAAAAAAAATATGGAGATAGAGAACAGCAGTTTAGATTAGTACGCAAGAGTTAAGAAGTTCCCCAAGAAGTAAAAAAAAAAATAGTTGGAGCAAATAGAAAATATTAAGGTGAGCTATCGTCATCGGAACATAACCTTCTTATATATGAATCATTATAAGAGTGTAGAATGTTATTTATTATTCCTATGTTCCTTTTTTCTCAGATTGTCGGCACTTTGTTGCATTACATCTCTGAAGCACCATCGATGGTCTCCAAAGCACCACGTACAATACGACGAATTTTCCGGCACCGCTTAGCAGTGGAAAATTTGTCTCGTTTAGAGTTACATACCCTTGTTGTACATATTCTATTGACACGGAAATGCGAAGTCGAAAAGTATATCTTTTTGCTCCACTGTTTTGATGCAAGTATATGCCCGAATTTATGACAAAACGCTTTACATGCTAAACTTCCTCTTTACAAAAAAAGCTTAATGAAAAATTAGTTTTTTATAACAGCTAATATTTAATTATACATCATCTAGAAGTGGCAATGCTATTGAGAAATCATAACTTCGACTCTGTTCAAAATTTATCAAGTATGTCTATCTTTTCAGGCCAATTTCGAAGTGTTCAGAATGTGCAATAAGAAATGATTTTGGTAATGCGTTGTTAGAAGAATTTTCATCTCATATCGATGCACCATTCGGATTAGAAGTACTAAAAAATGTATACAAATCAAGCAGTGAAATTGAACAAATGAAGGCTTGTATTGCAACGTTACATCTCGTCAGGTATCTGTTTCATATATTGCTATATAATATGGGACGGAGAGGAAAGAATTTATAATAGCATTATATATTAAAAATTGCAAAATTGAATTGACAGAAAGAAATTAAGATTCAACATTACAGGTAAAGCAAAAACTTTGTGTTAAAACTAAAATTGGATATCATTGCGTCGTGCTTTCAAGAAAACTTAGAAACATGCTATTTATCGATTAACACATATGTTTTAAAATCACATTTTTGCTTTTAGTTTGATGATTTGTAACTAAAATTATTGATATGATAAAATTCCATGAAAGGTGTGAAGATTTGAATTACCTAGTTGAAGTAACTTACAGTTGTTCTACACGTATAAGGATTCTATCGAATTCAGTCATCGTTTGAGCATTAAATACATCTAGAATACTGTTTATCTGCTTGCTTTATCTCTATGCATTGAATTTACTCTTGCATGTCAAAAGCTCTTAGTTGAACTTATATTTATTTTTTTGAACTTATATTTATTTTTGTTAACTGAAATTATGAAATAGGATTTTTCCTCAAATCGAGAAGTCATTTTCAAACATTTTCCAGAAGAGTCGATAACTGGAAACGCATGCTTGTGACTCATAAACCAGTTGAGCGTCTGTTGGCAAAATTACGCGAAATGCTGGTTGATAGTAATTATGAAGAAAACTGGCAAATAACAACGTATTGTAATGGGGTATATTTTCTTTTTCAAATTAATTTTATCCTAAAACATCCGATACAAAATTTTTTTTGAAAAACGCCAAAAGTTATTCTTTTTGGGATAAAGCTAAAAGGCTAAAAGTAACGCTAAAATGACGCCAAAAGTTAGTTTCTAGTTTTTTCTTAGCTTAGTATGTATGAAAAACAAAGCTAAGTTCGCATCAAAAATCATGCTTAAAAGTATATATGCATGTTTACTAAGTGTTTGTCTGATTTCTGTTAAGCATAAATTTATTTATATGAATGTTACAATAAAGATAGGTGAAAATGGCGGTTATTTTGAAAAGTGTGAAACTTTATTTACGGAGCGATATAGTCGAATTATGCCGAGTAGTTATCGGTATGAAGGGAGAAGATCTTAACATTAGTGGATTTATGGGAATCAAATAAGGTTTTTCAACAGAAATGTTACTGTGTCTAATGTGGAAGTCTGCTATTATAATAGATAGCATTAAATAATTAAAAGAGCCTGATAATTCCTTAATGATATCAGTTAATTGGTTGTCCATTAATCATTTCATCCTATCAAAGTGTTGGTGATAAGACCTCTCTTCTGCTTTGAAAATTAATTAATGTATAATATTTTCTGCATCTAATTTAGTTTTTTCAGCCAACATTAGTTCGGCAAATTTTGGTTGCATTATCATTTTTGGTTCCATCAGATGTACTGGCGAATTCGTTACACGGTATTTGGAATGATATTACCATTTACATAAATAATGATATGCCACTTGGTGAATGTGTTATAAAGGAAGCAACGTTACTATCAAGAAAGACCGCGCCGGCTTCATCAAGTTTACCGGAATTCATCAAGTTCAAATATGATAATGTAACGGAAGTTGTTCCGAAAAAACGCTTATGTGAAGGGAGTGAATATTTTCGGGTAAATTTTTGCTACAAATAACTTGACGTAGTTGAACATTTTTAATACTTGACGGTTGCTGTAAATACAAATTTTTAAGTAAAA